GCATGTAAAGAACTTGGTCTAGGGAATTCAGGAAAAGCGTATACAGCCTCAATGTAAGAGAAACCTTCGTTATTCGGTATTAAATTATAATTATTTATTTTGATGTTTACGTGATAAAAAGGATAAGTTGAATAAAAAATACTGTTACTGTATAGTGGAAAATAAATCTCTGACATATTTGTGACATCACATGATTTGTGCCGTCACCTGAGTGTTACACAATGATGCAACACTGATGTTGAAATTATTAATAGGCCAATGATTTTCTAAATTGATACATTTTACTGACTCCACATCAGGGTTTCCATTTGATGTAAAATTTTCGGAATTGCCACTACCGGCAGTGTCTGCCGGTAGGATGAGACTAGAAACTTTTGCTCCGCCATGGAATTATCACATAATAAAGGTGCATTCACACCAAATCCAAGTTTTTGGTACCGACGCGATCTATGTGTAAGAACAGTGACGCTGGCGTTCAGCATTTTGGAAAACGCTCCGAATTTCGGTCTGTTCGGGTCCGAATGTGAATGCGGCGTTAAGCCTCATTTACACCGAATCCGAATTCTCCGATCGGAAGGCCTAACGATCCAATCAGAAAATCAAATCAGTGTGTAAATATAGGGACGCGCGCTGGCGTGTCGAAACGCTGTCCGAATTTCGGCTCGGGTTCGAATGTAAAAACTCCATGGTTCTAGGTAGCATTCTCCAGGTAAAAAGTGTGAAATACTGATGTATGAAATAGCATTTTATAAAAGCCTTTCTTTTCCTTAGGAACTTTGGCTTTGATAGTTGGAGGGGAACAATTGAGTTTTACGCATTTGAGTGCAATGGAGATGAGGATACATTAAGTAAATGCAAGCACGAATCGTATGTCGCAAGATATGATTGTCCCACCCACTATGTAGCAGGACTACGTTGCTACCAAGGTAAAACACTGGTGTTGTTTTTGCTGCTACCACTACCACACAACCACCACACTACACCGATAAATCACCATCGATATAGCAACTGCATCAATATAATAATCACCGTTGATAGTCTATTGTTGTTATGTTGTTAGGCCTATAGCGATACCAATCAGTAACAACTTGCACATACATGGCCATAAAAAAGCAACGGAAAAATCTAGGTGCACCCATTGTTACAAATATCAGAACAGTCACACTTACCATAAAACCTCGAATTGGAAGCCCAGTGGGGCTTAATCTCCAGATGAAGCCCATCTCGAATTCAAGCCCCCCTCTTTAATAGTTTCCATGGGCCTCTTTTCAAGATAGCATAGGCTTCTTTTCGAGATAGTACAGTATATACACTGTACATGAATTTCAGGGAAAAAAAAATTAAATACAACTTGGTATACAGTAGTTTAGGTGATTTGATGCCAGTATTTAATACTCTCCATGATGCAGATTGATGGTACAGTGACCTTATTTATTGTTTTATAGTACAAACACAAAATTTACAGCATTCCTTTTGAAAAGAAGCCCCCTCTTTACTTTGCAATAGTATCGAAAGAAGACCATCTTGAAAAGACAACTATACGACTTGTATAGTTTTCTTTGTGGTTTTGAGGACATTTTTGGACCCCCGAAACAAAACTTCAAAGAGTTACTCTTGCACCCGGTAAACGGAGAGCGAGGTCCATTATGGTGTGTTAGACAAAACCATTTTCACAGTCCGAGCAGCGCCATTTCTAAGCATCTAAAGGCAAATAAAATTTGTTCCAACCGGTCCGTGTTGGGAGATCTTCGACCATTCATAGGGCACATTCGACCCCTAGTCGTCGAGATATCTGTGGTGCGTGTGTGTGACATTATTTTACTTTTACTGTTAAAAAATTACATTAAATGGTATCCAACTATTGTTTCTGATGTAGACTACGATGTCCGTTTAACTGGCAGTGCTCCAAATCCTGACATGGCTGGACGGTTGGAGATCTACATGAATGGTAGCTGGGAAACTATATGTGATGCGGGCTGGGGTGACGAAGATGCGGTCGTTGCGTGCCGACAATTAGGCCTATTTAGAGGTCACCTTGATCAACAAGCTGTAGCAACTGTCTCTTATACACATCTGCAGTGTCTGCCGGTAGGATATAGACTAGAAACTTTTGCTCCGCCATGGAATTATCACATAATAAAGGTGCATTCACACCAAATCCAAGTTTTTGGTACCGACGCGATCTATGTGTAAGAACAGTGACGCTGGCGTTCAGCATTTTGGAAACGCTCCGAATTTCGGTCTGTTCGGGTCCGAATGTGAATGTGGCGTTAAGCCTCATTTACACCGAATCCGAATTCTCCGATCGGAAGGCCTAACGATCCAATCAGAAAATCAAATCAGTGTGTAAATATAGGGACGCGCGCTGGCGTGTCGAAACGCTGTCCGAATTTCGGCTCGGGTTCGAATGTAAAAACTCCATGGTTCTAGGTAGCATTCTCCAGGTAAAAAGTGTGAAATACTGATGTATGAAATAGCATTTTATAAAAGCCTTTCTTTTCCTTAGGAACTTTGGCTTTGATAGTTGGAGGGGAACAATTGAGTTTTACGCATTTGAGTGCAATGGAGATGAGGATACATTAAGTAAATGCAAGCACGAATCGTATGTCGCAAGATATGATTGTCCCACCCACTATGTAGCAGGACTACGTTGCTACCAAGGTAAAACACTGGTGTTGTTTTTGCTGCTACCACTACCACACAACCACCACACTACACCGATAAATCACCATCGATATAGCAACTGCATCAATATAATAATCACCGTTGATAGTCTATTGTTGTTATGTTGTTAGGCCTATAGCGATACCAATCAGTAACAACTTGCACATACATGGCCATAAAAAATATTTTAACACACTTTTAAAACATACAACATTATTATTCTACAGCAGTGTATTACTGTGCTATATTATAGTACTGTTACTGTACTGTAAGTGTACACCAACTGCAAATAAGGTACTGGTAAGGTTTGTTGGTTTTTCTACTACTACTAAAAAATAAAAACCTCACTTGTGGCATCTTAGATTAAGGTAAAACACTGATGTTGTTTTTGCTGCTACCACTACCACACTACACCGATAAATCACCATCGATATATCAACTGCATCAATATAATAATCACCGTTGATTGTCTATTGTTGTTATGTTCTTAGGCCTAATGCGATACCAATCACTAACAACTTGCACATGGCCATAAAAAGCAAAGGAAAAATCTAGGAGCACCCGTTGTTACAAATATTACAACACTTGTGGCATTTTAACTTAGCCTTAATTTATTCTTATTTTGTTCTTAATTTTCCGCAATTTCGACAGCCTCATTCTTCTTATAAAATGTGCTCTTATAAAAAACGTAAGTGATGTTGCTATTCAAACGTACAACGTTAATCGTATCATGATGATCCTTTTATACAGTATACTCCGTCACGGGTTCAATGGATAGATAGCGTATACATACAGTATAATTATGCTTGTACCTCTGTATATGCTTTCTGTCGATGCCAAGAATAAAAATGTTGATTAATTTGTTTCAAATGCTTCTAGTTGTTTGAATCAGCTCATTTACAGTCGCTTTTAATCCACTCTTTATATCAAACTTTGCTATTATTCATTTAAAAGCAGAATTGATTTTGAATTTTTATTCGTAATGGTTACGAATTTATACAGTAGTATTTTTCATTTGTGGAAACAATTTGCTTGTTCCTCCATGTCCTCCACTGGTAACTTTTTGATAGGCCCCATCGCTGTGTTCACGGACATATAGAGATTAACATGATAAAATGCCTTCAAATTAGTCTACTAGGACGTAAGAAAGCAAAATTTTTCGGGCCCTTCGGCCACTGGACCCCAACCGGGGGCCCTGGGCGGCCCCCCTTCCCCAGCCTGGTTGATCGCTGCGCTCGCAAAACGCACCCCCGCCCCCAATTCAAAAAGCTGGATACGGGCCTGCCATCCTACTCCACTGGCTATAGAACGTCTGAGTTCCAAAACAGCGAGTAGGTCTAACTTATACAACACAGGGAGAGAGAGGAGTACAGCGGAGCCAATTCAAAACATAAGACAATATGGCAGAGCAGCCCTATACTAGGCTACCTATTTTTCTGAAACATTTTGTGTGAAATCTACATAGAGATATAATAAGAATACTAGAGCGCTAACAGCAATGTATTCGATGTTCGAAATACGCAGAGCTGTGTGTGTGTACCATCCAAGATGGCTGCCATAGATTCAGCCAATCAAATTTCCCCTGAGCACTATCATTTTCATGTTTACACAGAAAGTTCAGTACAGCTAGTTACCCGTATTTTGAAACTCGAGCGTTGCGGTGTATGGGTGTAATGTACACGATTTTAATTCTTTTTAATATTTGAATAAGATGCTCTACTTGGCCTTTTTTTGGCTACGACAGTTTTATAATTTGTCATTATCAATACTAATTATCATTAATGAAATAATATTCAGTCAGAGGGCTTATTTATGGTAATAATATGTATACTAAGCCTGAAGGTGGCGCTTTCCTACGGCAGCCATCTTGGATGGTTCTCTTATACACATCT